TGTGTGTGTGTGTGTGTGTGTGTGTGTTAGTCTGAGTGCTCTTGTACAGCTATCTTTGTGAGGAGCAGTTTGAGTGTACAACCTGCAGAATGCATTATTATTGCATTATGTCATTGAGTGTCCTCACTAAGATAGAAGTACAAACATCTGTGTGTATGATTACAAATTATACTGATGAATACGCCTTTATATAAATATTCTTTTGTATATTTAGTTTAAACTGAAATGTTGTTTTTTAGAACTTCTGCTCGAAATCGACAGTTCTCAGGACTCGGACGTCGTGTCACTCATGCAGCATCAGTCTGTTGATCTCGTGTCCATCAGGATTCAAACGGACGCCACATTCCATGGCTCAGGACTGCAGGTCAGTGTAACACGTGAGAACACGTGACGACACATGAGGACACGTGAGAACATGTGAGAACCCTCATCTCCGTGACGTTCTCTCCTCAGGTACCACATCAAAACTGCCAGTTTGAAACTGCCAATCAGCGGCTGCAGCTTCGAATGTTATCGGGAGGTGGAGCTGAAGAGCTGTTGTCCTGGTTACTGGGGGCCGGACTGTGTCGGTGAGGGCAGAGAAAAACTTTATCTGAGTCACACGTCAATCTACATGTTAAGGAGCCACTGTCATTAGCTCCCTGCTAATGCTAACTGCTACTTGACATAAAACACTTCACCAGGCTTTTATTGTGAGGGAAAAAAACATACATATTGTTTATCAGTCCATCTGACTAATTAGCTTAACTAGTTTGTTTTAGGTTTAGTTTCAGTTGACTTCAATTTAGTTTATTCAAGTTTAGCCCAGTTTTGTTAAGTTGAGCTTAGCTTTTTTTTATTAGCTCATTATCTCTCACACTTGATGACATCACAGGAGCAGGATGGAAACGTGTTTTTATGTTGTTATATTTCCTCTGAAGCTTTGTTCACTAGTTACTTCAGTTGTGTTGGATTCTGCTCTAACAAAGTTTCCCCCTGAGACTCCAGAAGTGTTTCATGGATTCAAACACTTCACCCCCCATTAGTGTGTGTTACATGTTCCCTCCTACAGGAAGCAGATCATCCTGCAGGATCACGACTTCCTTCCTCTCTGCAGACTCAGGATCAGCTGGACTGAAATGTGCTGATGGTCACATGGAGTTGGACCAACTACGACCTCTGACCTCTGACCTCTGACCCATACCTGGGAACAGGAACCAGAGATGTAGCAGCAGTGTGGCGGGACACAGGAAGTGGACGGACAGACATTGAAAGTCTTTTCTGTTGTTTCAGAATGTCCTGATCGAGCCGACAGACCCTGCAGCGACCGAGGAATCTGCTCCGATGGACTGGGAGGAAACGGAACCTGTACCTGTCAGGTGACACACCCCTAGATACACACCTGGATACACCCCTAGATACACCCCTAGATACACACCTGGATACACACATGGATTCACACCTGGATACACACCTGGATTCACACCTGGATACACATGTAGATACACACCTGCTACACACAGTCTTTCAGGAGGTTCTTTGAGTCGTTAACAAGGTGTGTGTGTGTGTGTGTAGGAGGGGTTTGCTGGTACATCATGTGAGGACTGTTCTCCAGGTAGATTTGGATCCACCTGTAGTTCAGGTAACATGAAATTGTTTCTTATAAAATAATTTATAATTTTATCAAAAACAGACTTTATTAATGTCTCGCTCTCTCTCTCTCTCTCCCTCCCTCTCTCTCTCCCTCTCCCACTCTCTCTCTCTCTCTCTCTCTCTCTCTCTCTC